TTCCCTTCTCTTCCCTTCCCTCCTTCCCTTCCTTCCCTTCCCTCCCTCCCCTCCCCTCCCCTCCCTCCCCTCCCCTCCCTCCCCTCCCCCACTCCCCCTTCCCCTCCTGCTCCTCCTCCTCACCGGTCCCTTCCCCTCCCCTCCTCTTCCTTTTAAAATAAACTGTTATCAGCTGGACACCGACTTTCTTGTAATGTTTTGCTTTTGGTCCCTCATGGCTAAAGTGGAACTGGCTTAGAAGGCTTCCTTTCAAATCTTTAATTCTGCCAAGTATCATTACTATTACCATTGTTATTAGTTATTATATTCATACCTGTTAATGGTTATTATATCAATTGTATCAAACATATCAATCAATTATGCCAAAGTGTTCGTGGTTACTATATCAATATCTGCCTTTCGTATGGCACTTTGGCCACTAATCCATCATTCCATTTTAGCCTCACTGTAGTTCAATGATATGTGACAGGAATTACCGTTTCACTTTCTTAGATGGATAGAATAGAGACCAGTAGTATCTGACTTGCCAAAGGTCACAAAGCTAATTAGTGTTGGAACTGGCACAGTGCACTAGCTTCAGGGGTAGCAAAACAGGTACAGATGCTATTTACCTTCCATTGAAGATCTCAGATGGCTGTTTTTGCATCACTCAGTCTGACCAGACCTCTTGCCCCCAGCTGCAACGAGCTGCAGTTCTCACAGTATGCAGCCATGTGTGACAATGTGCACATCCAGAAGATGCAGGGTGATGGCTACTGCCTGAAGCTCACCGACATGAAGGGCTTCTTCCAGCCCTGCTATGGGCTTCTTGATCCCCTCCCATTCTACGAGTCCTGCTACCTGGACGGCTGCTACAACCACAAGAAGTTCCAGCTGTGCGGCTCCCTGGCTGCCTACGGGGAGGCCTGCCGCTCCTTCGGGATCCTCAGCACCGAATGGATTGAGAAGGAGAATTGCTGTAAGAGAATTATTTTATTTCTGTGGATTCCATTTTCAGTGAAAAGAACAGCTTTGCAGGTAGCATTGCTTTTTCTAGGGATGACTGGTCCTCTCCAGATTTACTCATAGATCTGCTTCCAGGATTGGATAGTAGAGAGCTGTGAGCTGCAGCCGAGATTCAGTGACGGGCCCCTCCCATGGAGCCTAACCCACCTATGGTTCCTGTCCAGCTATGGAATTTGGAAAACAAACGTGGGAAGATGGGCTCTCTGGGTTGGAAGAGCCCTGGTTTAGTGGCTTATGAGGTAGAGGGACATAGTGTGGGATTCCCGATGGATTTTAGTTCCCAAACGCATCTCCACCTTGGCTTCTTTAGCATGAGGTCATCCTCTATCAGAAAGTGAAGGCAAGAGCAGGCGGAAGGCAGAGGTGGAACTGAGCTGGTTATGTCCACCTGGGCTGAAAGGAAGCTGCAGTTGGATTGACTGTGGAGATCACATATATTAGATCAGCTGGTAAAAAAAAAGGTAAACAGAATCTTGTGGGTTTTTTTCTGTAGTAAGAAAATTATTTTGATGTGTATTCTATTATTCAATTTGTTCATTTTCCTACTGTGTTAATCAAATAGGGGAGCGATTATAGATGTATACACACACATGTAAATGTGCCATAGACATACATGTGTGTCCATACACATAAATGGTCACTCCCACTAGTGTGGCCAACAGAATGTGTGTTTTGTGCTCTGACCCACAACACCAGCCCGTTGTGTATATAGGTACCACTGTGAAAACAGGCTGACTCCAAGACGATAAATACATGTTGGTAAATTTGCAGACCAAACTGGATCAAGTGTAGGAATACACTTTAATTCAGAGCCTAAAAACAATGCAGTTAATTAAAATACATTTCAGTGATTTCAGAAACTGTTAAGCAAATTACTAGTCTCTGTTGGAAACTAACAAAAATATTTGTTAATATTTTACTCTGCTGTGTTCATAAGAATACTTTCAATGACTTTAAAAATTAACTGTTTTGAACTTTTCAAATTGTCAGGAATTTTAAAAAATACATATATAATTCAAAAAATACTCAAAGCTTCCATCTGTCTAAGGGCATGTTTTATCTGCCAGTTGGCAGATGGACCACCACATTTGTAAATAAACGTTTCCTTCTTGTGGACTGTAACCTCTGCACCATGTTTCTGTTACTCTGTTTGTCATTCTCATGCAGAGTCGGTCAATCATAACATTCGCTTGGTGGCTGCCATGTGCTTAGCACTGTGCTAGGTACTGGATATACTGGGCCAGTGAAAGGATCTTTATAAAAAGCAGCCTTTTGAAAATAAATATATTTAACTTATGCTGATGGCATTCTTTCAGTTGTCCTTCCAGAAATTAAGACAGGCTTATGCTGAGCCATCCATGCACTCCTACCTAATGTAATTAGTTACCTACCAGAGGGGCGTGGCAGCTGAGTCAGAAGAGGTATATGGAGCTGTGGGCAGCCTGGGATTTTTGTTTTGTTTTTAAACTCTTTTTTTCCCTGTGTGTGGGGTATGTGTGTCTGTGGTGAGAACATGAAACTCTAGTCTGTTGGTAATTTTCAAGTGTACAGTGTATTGGTACTAACTATAGCCACTTTGATGTACAGTAGATCGCTTGGATTTATTCCTCTTGTCTAAATGAAATTTTGCATCCTTTAAAAACTCTTTTTTAAAAAACTCTTGAAGCCAACTTGGCTCATGCTGGGATTGAACAGTTGTTTCTTTAGCACTGTCCATCATATACCGTGATGAACAGGAGGAATATTCTGTCTTGATAGGCAGAGCGATTCTTTAAATAAAGAAATGAACTTCTAAAAGAAAATGCTAATTAGTGGTTCTCAAACTGAGGCGTTGACTATCTTGCAGGTGATCTCATCTGTTACAGAAATATTGTTCATAAAAACATGATGATGATACTCCACATAACATCTTTATTTTACTTACAGTTTTACCCTTTTGGCAAAACAGCACCATGAATCTAAGTCAATGCTGGTGAGCTGTGTGGAGGTTTTTCCTTTGTCTATTTTTACAAATCAAGTAGCAGATCATGGGGAAAGTGAACCAAGAATCAGAAAGGAGTCAGAAGCGCTGGTGTGGGAGACCTCCTCTGGGATCTTACTGGCCTAATATGTTCATTATTGACACATATTTATGTGCACCAACCATGAGGTGGTTGAATGCGGGATGTAGGAGATAAATGATTTGGATGGCTACTCTTATATAAATATCAGTGGCAAATCGTTGGCTATAGTGTAGTGGGGTGCCTTAATCGTGGTAGATTACTGGGGTTAAGAGCATCTGTGCATTCAGTCTTCACCAGCTTACCTTCGCTTTTGACCTTGGGCAAGTTCAGCTGTGAAATAGAGGCTTATAATATTTAGCCTTGAGGAGTATTTGCGAGGGTCAAAGAAGCTAATCCAGGCCCATAGCAGGCACCTATTTGCTAGTATTGACATTATTTTCTGGAAGGTTGCCATGTCTGGTTAACCTGCAGCTGCCATGCTGACCATTTCCAATGTGATTTAAAGAGGCAAGTCTGGAGTGGAACCAAATGTTACGCATGTAGGTGTAAAATCAAGTGTGCATGTTCTGTGTGTTTTTCTTTTTAGCAGGAGTGGTTGAAGATCCCTGTGTGGGGGCGGACTGGTCCAACCGAACCTGCGAGCTGGGGCAATGGCAGGGAGCTGTGTGGCTGCATCGAGCCGCCCCCCTATGGAAACAGTGGAGTGACACGGCCACCTCCCCACCCAGAAAGGCCCCGTGGGAGATGCTGCTCTGGGGAGGGACCTTGATGCATCCCACTTTGTGAAGCTTTCCCAAACAGTGAAGCTTTCAGGAGCATTTAAGCAGAACAAGGAAGCAATCTGACTGCTTCAAAGTATAGCTACATCCTTTTCCTCAATACATTGTAACACACAAATTTGTACATGAATGGACCAGCCATTTCCATCTGAGGTCACGTTCAACCTCAGAAAGGTCCAAATTGGTCTTTTTAGATGCACAAGGAAATAGGGTATTTTGATGTCAATATAAATAATTAGGATGAATGTTATTTAAAGCCAGATTTATTTGGCCCAAAGCTTTTTGGTCCCGAAGATATGTACGACTGAAATGTCTGAAAGCAAGCCATAAATAACTAGGACTCCAGGACTTGTTCCTAACTGTAGCTCCTTGGTGTGGAAATGGCCTTGTCCACTGCCGAGCCTGCTGGATGGCAGCTTGAAGCGGAGCTGCTTTGCCTTCCCATCTCTGCTCCCCTTCCTGAACCAGTAACGCAGAGGCAGCTGCTAATTTAACAGCATTGGAGAATGAAAATCTGGTTGACCAAAGCTCCTTAGGAGGGACAAGGGCTTTCACCTAAACAGATAAAATGTTTTTCTCTGTTTCTATAGTGTTATTAGCTGTATTTACATGCTCAAGAGAAAATGTCAATTGGTGCATTGCCATGTCAAAAAACCAAGCTCCTAGTGCTCACCTGGGATCGCTAACGGTTCTGCCGGAGCTGAATCAGCAGGGGCTTCGGATGTGGCCTGGCCAGTGCTGCTGTCCCTGAGAGGCATGCTTTTCAGCCAGCCACAATGTGCCAGATTTGGTATGTTCAGTATGTAGCTTACAGAAAAGTAGCTGCCACCAGCAAGGTGGGGGAAGACATGTTTTTGTAAAGAAAGACAGAAGACACTTTATTAGCAGTTTTATCTTTTAAAAAGGCTCTGCTAATGCCCAAGTTACTGCTTTGAATGAATTCATATGCTCGCTTGGTCTGATCAAAGCCTAATTAGAAATGCTGGCAGTCTTTTGAGTGGAGATCATTGCCTCTTCTAAAGGGAATGGTAATGGGGATGCTTTGCTCCCACTCCTGCAGCAAGACCGACTCCACTGATTTGCCTTTTCGTAATAACTGTCCCACAGACTCACATGACATTATCGATGCAGAGGTGGACCTGCAAAGCATCCCAGATGGGAAGTGTCCATATCTAAGTGCAAACTCTTCCAGCTCGGTTTTGAGAGGGAGGGCGTGAGGATCAATGACAGACAGTGTAGCGGGCATGAGGGGGAAGATTTTATCTCCTTTCAGGATCACAACACGCAAAGGGAATTGTGGAAAACATGTGCAGGTGAGAAAAGCAGCAGGAAAGAGCACCTGGCAGAGACAGCGACAGCTTCGAGTGTTTGCACATTTATTGTCCCAAAAGCTAACTTCAGGATGATCTGCTTAGAAATATGCTCCTTGGAAAACAGCAATAGGCATGTGTAAAATGAAAGACAGCAAGAGCAGTCGTCATTTCATGCTAAGTGGTTGACGAGTTGAAAGAGTGATGTGTTTTTTCCTTGGTTTGGGATGCCTACTGTGGTTCTTTGTCTTGTATATGGATAGAATTGTGTCTTTTTATGCTTCTATTGTTCTTTGAGGCAAATACATCTAGGCTTAGCTATTTCAGGGGGTAAGGGAGTCCCAAACCTCATTTAACAGGTGGCTTCAGGCCGAGTGCTTTGGCTCATGCCTGTAATCCCAGTGTGTCCGGAATTGGTGGGTTCTTGGTCTCGCTAACTTCAAGAATGAAGCCGCGACCCTTGCGGTGAGTGTTACAGTTCGTAAAGATGGTGTGTCTGGAGTTTGTTCCTTCAGACATTCAGATGTGTTTGGAGCTTCTTCCTTCTGGTGGGGTTCGTGGTCTCGCTGGCTTCAGGACTGAAGCTGGCAGACCTTTGCAGTGAGGGTTATAGCTCTTAAAGGCAGCATGGACCCAAAGAGTGAGTAGCAGCAAGATTTTATTGTAAAGAGCGAAAATAAAGCCTTCCACAGTGTGGAAGGGGACCCGAGTGGGTTGCCACTGGCTGGCTCCAACACCCTGCTTTTCTTCCCTTATCTGGCCCCACCCACGTCCTGCTGATTGGTCCATTTTACAGAGAGCTGATTGGTCCATTTTGACAGGGTGCTGATTGGTGCATTTACAATCTCTGAGCTAGACACAGGAGTGCTGGACAGAAAAGTTCTCCCAAGTCCCCACTAGGTTAGCTAGATACAGAGTATCAATTGGTGTATTTTCAAACCTTGAGCTAGACAGAGTGCTGATTGGTTTGTTTACGATCCCTTAGCTAGACATAAAAGTTCTCCAAGTCCCCACTAGGTTAGCTAGATACAGAGTGCTGACCAGTGCATTTACAAACCCTGAGCTAGACATGGAGTACTGATTGGTGCATTTACAATCCTCTAGCTAGACACAGAGTGCCAGACAGAAAAGTTCTCCAAGGTCTCCACTAGGTTACCTAGATACAGAGTACTGATTAGTGTATTTACAAACCCTGAGCTAGACACAGAGTGCTGATTGGTGCATTTTACGATCCCTTAGCTAGACATAAAGGTTTTCCAAGTCCCCGCTAGACTCAGGAACCCAGCTGGCTTCACCTAGTGCTGTAGGCAGAGCTGCCTGCCAGTCCTGAGGGGCACCTGCACTCCTCAGCCCTTGGGTGGTCAATGGGAACCAGGCACTATGGAGCAGGGGGTGGAGCCCATTGGGGAGGTTTGGCCCATGGGAGCCCACCATGGAGGGTGGGGCTCAGACATGGCAGGCTGCAGGTCCCTGAGCCTTGCCCCACGGGGAGGTGGCTGAGGCCTGGGGAGAATTCCAGAGTGGTGCATGTGGGCCAGCAGTGCTGGGAAACCTGGCACAGCCTCTGCAGCTGCTGGCCAAGGTGCTAAGCCCCTCACTACCCTGGGCTGGCGCTGGCCTGTGAGCGCTGGACACAGCCCCCAGTTCCTGCCTGCGCCTCTCCCTCCACACCTCCCTGCAGCAGAGGGAGCCGGCTCTGGCCTGGGCCAGCCCAGAGAGGGGCTCCCACAGTGCAGTGGCGGGGTGAAGGGCTCCTCAAGTGCTGCCCAGAGTGGACACTGAGGCCGAGGAGGTGCCAAGAATGAGGGCTGCCAGCACATTGTCACCTCTCACCAGCACCTTGGGAGGCCAAAGCAGAAGGACTGCAAGAGCCAGAAATTCAAGATGAGCCCAGGCAACATCACAAGACCCTGTCTCTATTTAAAAAAAAAAAAAATCTAAAAATTAGCTGGCTGTGGTGACAGTGCCTGTAGTTGTGTCTGCTTGGAAGGCTGACATGGGAGGATCTCAAGCCCAGGAGTTCAAGGCTGCAGTGAGCTATGATTGCACCACTGCACTCCAGCCTGGGTGACAGTGAGACCCTGTCACTAAAAACAAAACAAAACAAAACAAAAAACAGCTGACTTCAGAAATATGGTAAGGTCCCAACTTTTAATGTCAGATTGTGCAGTGTATAGGTTAGCAAAGCATCTTGTTTCTCTTCTTTTTTCTGCCTTGCTGTGCGTCTTCTATTCATGGCTCTATTTCTTAATACTTTTACCAGAGGTTGAAAGGAGTAAGGAGGTGAAACTTGCACTTGTTCATGTTGGTCCTTGTAGGGATGTCTGGTGATGGATTTGGTGGAGAAGAGATTTTGAATTAAGCATTGAAAAAGAAGATTTCTGTTACTCAGCAATGGCAATAGTTCATGCTATTCCTAGCTTGGGGTCTCACAGATAAGTGGGGTCTGGTAGTGGTTAGAATTCAGTAGTGGATGAAATCACCTTCCACGGGTATTCAAGGTTAGCAGACTGAAGGGTGCTGCTGATATCTATTGTAAATACTTTTTGCCCCAAGTAAATGCTAAGGCTAGCTCCATGCTACTTTATATGGCCTCTAAGTTATGTATGGAAGGAAGCCATTTCTCCACTTTCAGGGATATGGATTTGATATGCAAGCTACATACTCACTCCCAGATGTAATGATTTCTGACTTCCCCTTGCTCTGCAGTCCAATGGCACTCATATCATGTATAAAAACACAATCTGGATCGAAAGTGCCAACAACACTGGCAACATCATCACCAGGGACCGCACGATCAATGTGGAATTTGCGTGTGCTTATGAGCTGGATATCAAGATCTCCTTGGATTCTGTTGTGAAGCCTATGCTAAGGTAAGGCACCTCCTGGGCTGTGCACATTGCTTTTTCTTTTCCTTGACAGTTAAGGTTAGCATAATCAAAATTGCTAGCATTTGTCTTTAATGCCCTAGGAAAAACATAATTCACGTTTCTTGAGCCTAAATCCTTTCAATCAGCATTGTTCAATAGAACTCTCTGTGATGATGGAAATGTTTCCATCTGTACTGTTTAATGTGGTGGCTACGTGTGGCTGCTCAGCACTTGAAATGTGGCTCAGGGGGCTGCGAATTGAATTTTTAATTTTATTTAATTTTATTTCATTTAAATGTAAATTGCCCCATGTGGCTAGCAGGTACTATATTGGACAGCACAGCCTTAGACTTTGCTACTACATGTTTTGCTTTCCCTCTGCATTCTCAGCTTGAAAAATGGTAGATAATTGAACAGGTAACATTGTTTTAGGTTCCTGTCTCATAATTGTTTCCGTTTTAGTGTAATTAACCTGACAGTTCCAACCCAAGAAGGCAGCTTCACCACCAAGATGGCTCTCTACAAAAATGCCTCCTACAAACATCCTTACCGCCAGGGTGAAGTAGTGTTGACGACTCGAGATGTGCTGTATGTAGGGGTTTTTGTGGTTGGAGCTGACTCCACACATTTAATCCTAACGCTCACAAATGCTATGCCACACCCTCCCGAGATAGCAATGATAAGCTCCGATATTTCATCATCGAAGGAGGGTGAGTAACCTCTTTATAGACAACAGTCTCAGAGCTTCAGGTATAATATTGTCTGCATCATTTTTTAAGGAAGGGAATGGAAACTAATATTTGTTGGCTGCCTACAAGGCCAGCATTTTGCATTTATTAATTCATCTAATTCTCAAGGCAACCTATGAGGTAGATATTATAAGCTTCATTTTACAGGCAATCAAGTAACTTGCCTAAAGTCACACAGAAATATAGTGGTAGGTACCCCAAGTCCATGTGACATTAACTACATTAACTACAAGATGCTTTATTCTCAAAGTGGGGATTCTGTGCTGTTTACTTTGAACTTCAATTTGGAAGAATGTGGAATTCTGCAAATGAAAGAATATAATGACAATAGCCACAGGTTAATGAACAGGGCATCTATAAAAATAAAAAGAAATTAATATAATAGCCTATAGACTCAACAAGTTTCCCTTTACTCACCACTATATGCTTACCACCTAGTATATTTCCTGAAAACATAGTGATTACACAACAAAATTTCTTGAATGAATAAATGAATGAAAGAAAAGACTGTAGACCAACCACAATAATTATCTTTATTAAAAACAAAAATACTTTCTGGATATGTTAGACAGTTCACATTTATTGTAATAGGTTTTGTAACAATTCACTTTGACAGCTTTATTACAAAGATAATTTATAGGTAATACAATTTATTTGCTTTAAGTGTAAAAATCAATGGTAATTGATTGGTAAATTTGCAGAGAATTGCAAATATCACCATAATCTAATTTTAGAACATTTTTGTCACTCCAATAGTTACTTTTTATATGAATTTCTTTTTAAAATATATTGATACATTTACATATTTATGGAGTATATATGATATTTTGATACATGCATTAAATATGTAGTGCTCAGACCAGGGAATTTAGGATACTTATCACCTTGAATATGTGTCTTTTCTTTCTGTTGGGAGCGTTTCAAATCTTCTCTTCTGGCTATTTTGAAATATATAATAAATTGTTGTTAACTATAGTCACCCTACTGTGCTATCAAACACTAGAACTTATTCCTTTTATCTAAATGCATATTTGTAGCCATTAACCAAACTCTGTCCATCCCAGCTTCTTTCCCACCCTTTGGTAACTATCAGTCTGCTCTGTACGTCCATGAGATCAACTTTTGAAGCTCCCACATATGAGTGAGATACTGAGATATTTGCTTTTCTGTGCCTGGCTTATTTCATTTAACATATTGACTTCCAGTTCTGACCATGTTGTTGCAAATGATAGGATTTCATTTCTTTTTAAGGCTGAATAGTATTCCCTTGTGTATATATATCACATTTTCTTTATCCATTCATCCACTGATGTATACTTAGGTTGATACCATATCTTGGCTATTGTGAATAGTGCTGCAATAAACATAGAAGTGTAGAAATATTCTTTGGATATACTAATTTCCTTTCTTTTGGATAAATACCCAGTAGTGGCCTTGCTGGATCGTGTGGTAGTTCTATTTTTAGTGGTTTTTTTTGGGGGGGGGGGTGTGTGTGCGCGTGCGTGTGTGTGAAACCTCTGTAGTGTTTCCCATAATGACTGTACTCATTTATATTCCCACCAATAGTGTAGAAGAGTTCCCCTTTCTCCATATCCTCACCAGCATTTGTTACTTTTTGTCTTTTTAATAGTAGCCATTTTAACTGGCATGACATGATATCTCATTGTGGTTTTGATTTTTATTTCCCTGATGATTAGTAACGTTGAGCATTTTTTTTTTTGTATACTTGTTGGCCATTTGTATGTCTTCATTTGAGAAATATTTATGCAAATCCTTTGCCCAGTTTTTAAAGGAATTATTTGTTTTCTTGCCGTTGAGTTGTTTGAGTTTCTTGCATATTCTGGATACTAATCCCTTGTTGGATGAATAGTTTGCAAATATTTTCTTTTATTCAACAGGTTGTCTCTTCATTTTGTTGGTTGTTTTCTTTGCTGTGTAGAAACTTTTTAGTTTAATATAGTCCCATTTGTCTATTTTTGCTTTGTTGCTTGGGCTTTTGGAATCTTACCCATAAAATATTTGCCTCAACCAATGATGAAGCATGTTCACTTTGTTTTCTTCTAGTAGCTTTATAGTTTCTGGTTGAACATTTAAATCCACTTTGAGTTAGCCGGGCACGGTGGCTCAAGCCTGTAATCCCAGCACTTTGGGAGGCTGAGACGGGCGGATCACAAGGTCAGGAGATCGAGACCATCCTGGCTAACACGGTGAAACCCCGTCTCTACTAAAAAATACAAAAAACTAGCCGGGCGAGGTGGCGGGCGCCTGTGGTCCCAGCTACTCCGGAGGCTGAGGCAGGAGAATGGCGTGAACCCGGGAGGCGGAGCTTGCAGTGAGCTGAGATCCGGCCACTGCACTCCAGCCTGGGTGACAGAGCCAGACTCAGTCTCAAAAAAAAAAAAAAATAAAAATAAAAATAAAAATAAAAATAAATCCACTTTGAGTTGATTTTTGTTTATGGTGAGACACAAGGGTATAATTTAATTCTTCTGCATATGGATATCCAGTTTTCTCAGCACCAGTTTTTGAAGAGAGCGTCATTTCCCCAATGTAAGTTCTTGTCGTCTTTGTTGCAAATCAGTTGGCTGTAAATACATGGACTTACTTCTGAGTTCTGTTTTGTTACACTGGTCTATGTGTCTGTTTTTATACCAATATCATGCTGTTTTGGCTACTATAGCTTCACACTATACTTAAAAGTCAGGTAGTGTGATGTCTGCAGCTTTGTTCTTTTTACTGAGTATTGCTTGGGCTATTCAGGGTCTATTGTGGCTCTATACAAATTTTAGGATTTTTTTTTCTATTTCTGTGAAGAATTTCATTGGTACATTGATAGGGATTGCATTTAATCTGTGGATTTTTTTTTGTGGGTAGTACGATCACCTTAACAATTTCAATACTCCCAATCCATAAGTATGAGATATCTTTCCATTTGTTTGTCCTCTTCATTTTGTAATTTTCCTTGTAGAGATCTTTCACTTGGTTAAATTTAGTCCTAGATTTCTTATTTTTTTGTAAGTATTGTAAATGAGATTGCCTTCTTGATTTTTTTCGCTGCTAGTTCGTTATTGGTGTATAAAATGCTACTAATTTTTGCATGCTGTTTTTATGTCCTGCAACTTTACTGAATTTGTTTATCTGTTCTAAGAGTTTTTGATGGAATCTTTAGGTTTTTCTGTATATAAGATCATGTTATCTGCAAAGGGAAAGTTTGACTTTCTATTTCCCAATTTGGATGTCTTTTATTTTTTTCTCTTGCTTGATTGAACTGGCTAGGACTTCTAGTACTATGTTAATAAGAATGATGAGAGTGAAAATCCATGAATTGTTCCAGTACTTTCAGCTTTTCTTCATTCAGTATGATATTACCCATGGGTTTGTCATATATGGCTTTATTATGTTGAGGCATGTTCCTTCTGTTCCTAATATTTTGAGAATTTTTATCATAAAGGGATGTTGAATTTTATCAAATGCTTTTTGTTGTCTATTGAGATAATTGTATGGTTTTATTGTTCATTCTTATGTGATATATGACATTTGTTGATTTGTATATATTGAAACATTCTTGCATCCCTGGAATAAATCCTGCTTGATCATGGTGTATTATCTTTTTGATGTGCTGTTGGATTCAGTTTGCTAGTATTTTATTGAGGATTTTTGCATCTATGTTTAGACATTGGCTTGGTGTGTGTGTGTGTGTGTGTGTGGTGTGTGTGTGTGTGTGTGGTGTGGTGTCCTGGTCTAGTTTCGATATCAGGGTAATGCTGGCCTTGTAGAATGAGCTAGGAAGAATCCCCAAATTCCCTCCTCTTCGGTTTTTTTGAAATAGTTTAGGAAGCATTGGTGTTAGTCTTCTTTGTAAGTATGGTAGAATTTAGCAGTAAAGACAACTAGTCCTGGACTTTTCTTTGCTGAGAGACATTTTGTTCCTGATTCAATCTTGTTATTAGTTATTGGTCTGTTCAGGTTTTCTATTTCTTCCTGGTTCAACCTTGGTAGGTTGTATGTGTACAAGAATCTATCCATTTTCTGTAGGTTTTACAAAGTGTATAGTTGTTCATAACAGTCTCTAATGATTCTTCATATTTCTGTGGTATAAGTATTATCTTCTTTTTATTTCTGATTTTATTTGGGTTTTCTGTCTTTTTTCCCTTAAGTTAGTCTAACCAGTGCTTTATCAATTTTGTTATCTTTTTAAAACATGAATGTACATTTCATCGATTTTTTGCTTGTTTTAGTCTCTACTTTATTTAACTCTGGCCTAATCTTTATTATTATTTTTTCCTTCTACTAATTTTGGATTTAATTTTCTACTTTTTTGATGTAGGTGTATATTGCATAAGTTTCCCTCTTAGCACTGTTTTCTGTTGTATCTCACATGTTTTTGGTATGTTCTGTTTCCATTTTCACTTGTTTTTAAAAATTTTTTTTAAATCTGCTTCTTAATTTATTCATTGACCCAGTGGTTGTTCAGGAGCATGTTGCCTAATTTCTAAGTATTTATTCAGTGTCCAAAATTTCTCTTGTTATTGATTTCTAGTTTTATTCTATTGTGGTCTGAGAAGATAGTCAATATGATTTCAATTTTTAAAAATTTGTCAGGACTTGGTTTTTGGCCTAACATATGGTCTATCTTGGAAAATATTCTGTGTACTAATGAGAAAAATGTGTATTCTGCAGCTGTTGGGTAAAATGTTCTGTGAATGCCTGTTAGGTCCATTTGGTCTAAAGTGCAATATAAATAAAATATTTTGTTGATTTTCTTTCTAATGTTGAGAGTAGGATGTTAATTCTCCAACTTTCATTACTTTGGAATTTATCTCTCCCTTTAGATCTAATAATATTTGCTTTATACATTTGGGTGCTGTGATGTTGGATAGATATATATTAGAATTGTTGTATCCTCTTGCTGAATTTATCCTTTTATCATTATGTAATGATCTTCTTTGTCTCTTTTACAGCCTTTGACTTAAAGTCTGTTATGTCAGATACAAATATAGCTACCCCTGCTTGCTTTTGGTTTGCTTTTCACAATTATCTTTTTCCATCCATTACTTTCAGTCTATGTGTGTCTTTTTGCAGGTGAAGTGAGTTGCTTGTAGGCAGCATATATTGGAGTTTTTGTTTGTTTGTTTGTTTTTAGCTGTTCAGTCAGTCTATATCTTTAAGTGGCGAATTTAATCTGCTTACATTCAAGGTTATTATTGATAGTGAGAACTTATTCCTGTCATTTTGTTTAT